TATGCCCGTACCGAATGGACTGAGAGTTCTTAGCGCGGCACATGAGATTCCAACAGGTAAGAAGAAAAATATGACCGAATACATCCTGTGTTTTTGGTAGACTGGAGCATCGACCTTGCCACAGCCCTATACATTGAAAAGCGGAATGGCTCTTTTCCTTCTCGAAGACTTTCGTTACTGTTCTGGGCAACTTGAGCCACTGTATGATGAAGACCCTAAAAAACCGCCGCATTTGAAAGTCAAAGTCATGGGGCCGCGAATGTTCGGTTGCTGGGTACAAGTACACAATTGCTGAGCGCACGTTGCCAAATGTAGACTTTCCTGTTACTCCACGCTGCTCCATAGATGTAAGATAACTCATACAATCTTGCGTAGATAAAGAGTCCAAACACACGGGACTTCGAAAAGGTGGTCTTGACAGCCACGAAGCAATTGTGCCTTCGTTAATAGTCTGAAGCTCTCGGAATGAAGTGAAAAGTGTTTGCCGTCGATCGTCGTCTGTGTTAGTATGCAGCCACTCCACAAAGCGAGCTATTGCACATAAATAGGTGTACTTGGTCTTCTCCGCTGTCGTATTCTCCAGCACTTCTTCAACGTGTGCATCGAGCTCGCCCATCGTTGCACTTAGCTCAGTAACCTTTCAAGAACACATAAATATTTTCAGCCAATCACAATCGTCTAATAATCTTAGTGCAATTCGCACGGCGAATTCCATCCATCTATACTTCAAGATCCTCAAACCGATGGCGACTTCGTTCAGCTCGCGCTTCCGTCGCGGCGGCGGCGCTGCTACAGCTAAAGGCGGCGGTGATGAGCGTGTGGATGAGATGCTGAGCGACAGCTCGGACGACGGGTCCCCTCTGGGCGGCGATGTGCGGCGCAACGCAGCGAAGAAGCCGACGCCCAGTCGCTCGAACGACAGCTCGCTGCGATCTTCGAGCGCATCAGAAGGAGGCGGTGCTGTGGCTCCGCGCAGTGGAGGAACTAACGCTGGGAGTGCGAAGAGTGAACACAGCGATGCAGAGAAGAACGAAGTGGCTGCGGAGAGTAAGAAGGAGGAGGAGTCACCGAAGAAACTCGAGAAGCCTAAAAAGAAGATGTTTGGATCATTAGCCAGGAGCCAGACCAGTCGTACTGCGACGTCGATGAAAAAATCTGCAGGGAGGAAATGGTACAGTGACTCGGATGAAGAGGAGGAGGAGCAGCAGACAACCAAGAAAAAGCCGTTGAAAATAGAGAATTCTATGAAGAGCGACGAGGATTCAGATCTGGAAGCATATATTGAGGGATCTCTTGTGGATCCACCTGGAACGACAAGCAAAGAATCTGCACAAACACCGGTGAATCAAGAACGGTCTAAATCTAAGCGACTGAACAAAGAGAGAGAAAGCAATCGTGGAAACGAGTCTGACGATAGTGGGAAAGATACTGAACCTCCAGCTGCAGTTGACGCCGCGAAGAAGAAGACGAACATGCTGAAACTAATGACGAAAACAAGAACGCTGTCGCCTTTTGGTAGCAAAAGAAAAGGTCTTGGAGCTGGAGTTTCAGAGTCACCCGCTGCTAGTAGTCCAGCGGCTGGGACCGCTAAAAGAGGCACACCTTCAAGCTCTGAGCGCTCAACTTCAGAAGCACCACCTGCCAACAATACTGCCGCAGGGCGACCCACAGAGGTGCAGACGGGAGCTGGAAATGCCCCTGCCATCATTATAAACCGCCGCACAGACCGACTGAAGCACTCTGCCTCTGCCAGCGGCTCTGAGTACAGCGGGTCCCCCAGACTTGCTGTTAGCAACAATGATGAAGTCTTGAGTCCTGGTCTACGCAAAGTACCCGGTGCATTTCCTGGTAGACCAGGTAGTGGAGTACTGCTAGAGGGATGGTTACGCCAGAAACAGCGTCGCGGAATAAAAGGTCTCAAGAAATGGAACTCGCGCTACTTCGTGCTTTACGCCCGGTCGAACGAGGTGCGGTACTACGCGGACGTGGTTCAGTCTGCTTGGGGTCCCATTCCGTTGGGCGAGATTGGGTCCATTTCGTTGCGGCTTATCCAGCGCATCGGCAAGCTCAGCCACCCAAAGTACAAGGGTTGTCGCTTTGACATCACGTGCCGCAATAGCTGGGGAACTCACTATGCGGATGACTACGTCTCCTCCGACGAAGAGAACGCGAACAGTACTAACAACACGAACTCAAATAATGAGAAAACGACGACTTCTAATCCAGCGAAACAAGAAAAGAGCGGTACTCCAAAGTCTTCTCGGGTGTATAGCTTAGTAGCCGACTCACCGCAAGTCACGGTGGCGTGGGTGAATATGCTGGACTCGCTGCTAACGCGAAGTGCCAACAGCCCACGGCCAGACGTCGACTCTCCGGCAAAAAGCACCAGATTGAAGAAGTCTCGAGCTGTTGCACGACAGCAATCCAGTGGTCTGGACACAGAGTCATCGGTGCTGCTTGGACCCGGAGAACTTTTACCGAAGGCAGTCATCTACGCCATCAATTTCATCTTTGACTCGACGCCAGGAATCGAGACTGAAAAGTTCTACGAAGTCGAATCAGATGCCACGAAGCTGAAGGTAAGGTCGTGGATACTCCACTCTGCGCTGTAATCTGTTAACTAAACTTGTGATACTTTCCAGGCTGCCCTCAAATTCCTGAACGAGTTTGCGGGCGAGTCAGTCACCCGCAAACCAACGAAAGACGAGTTGGAAGAATTGCTGGATGCCACCACAGCCGGTGCTGTTGTACGACTGTGGCTCAAGCAACTCGAGCAGCCTTTGATACCTTTCACTATGTACGACGACTTCGCAGCAATGGCGCGCGAGGCGCAGTCTGCACCCTTCGACCTGCGTCGGAATCTTCGCGCACTGCTCGAAGCTCTGCCCAAGAAGAACCTGTACGTCCTGCTTTCAATACACTCTATAACGTACAACACTAACCACTGTATATACCTGCAGTACCATGTTGGCTTGCCTGCTTTTCCACCTGAATGACGTCAACGTGTACTCGTCCAAGAATGGGATGGACGCAGCCAGACTCTCTCATCTCTTCGCTGATTTCATCCTGCATCCTCAGAAGAAATCACCGCAAGCTAACAACTCCAACAATGACGTCGCTGCGGTGTGTCATCTGGTAGAAGAGATGATCACCAATGTGGACACGTTCATCGACGAGAAGGAAGCCCAACTTCTGGAGGACAACCGACTGTAACAAACACTCAAAGCTCTGTAAAGTCATTAAAAAAAAACTCGCCTGTCTACACCCTCAGCTCTGCACCTTCATGTACACGATGTGTTTACCGGGCACGAGGGTCATACCCAGCGAACGGCTGCCTGGAGGCAGCACCACACCGGCGAAGCGCGTCTCCTCCTCCTGGTCGCGGGCCTCCGCTTTGTCCTTGCTGTTCTTGCTGATCCCTACGCGCGTAGGAGCGAACTCGCGTGCGTCCTTGAGGATTACATTCTGGTGTTTGTCGAAGCAGTGGAAGCGGCCCACGACGACGCGGCCGTCAGAGATGCGCAGTCGCACCAGCGATCCCAGCAGCTTCATGAGCTCTAGCGTCGGCCCACCCACCGAGACCGGGGAGTCTCCATGCTGAGTCTGCTCCACATCCCCGTCCTTGCCCACGCACAGCGTCAACTGCGGCTTCCCGTTGAGCGACAGAACCGCAGGAGTCTTTGCCAGCAGTCCCATCATGCTGTCAAACTGTGCGAGTGGGTTATTCACCAAACCAACTGGTATATTTGCTCATAAAACCCAACCACCCATCGAGAATCTCTTCTTACACTTAGGTTTAGGGCTCTATCTTTTTTTTTTTTTGGGGGGGGGAATGAATACCCGACATCAACTCTTCATTGCGAGGCGATAGATGAAGACCATTTTGCACTCTATCGTCGCTCAAATTGGAAATGTTGCCTGGTTAGCACCAAATAATGACAACTTGCGGCCTTAAAATACAGCATTTTCGACAACAGGTCTTCTAAGAAGGTAAACTCTGTTTGAGTTTTTAGTATCCTGGATATACTTCATTTCTGTTAGTAACAGTCGTTGACTCTCCGATTCGTAAACAAACCTCCTCGCTTCATCGTGTTCATGCTCGGCAATCGGCCTCCTCGTCCGCTCAGTAGACCTGCCAGTTCTGCTTCATTGAAGGTGTTTTTCCCACCTGCTGAATTGGCTAGTCGACCTTTCTGTTGCCAAAACATTGCGGCTAATGCGCAGATCATCATGGCGGGTACACGTATCCAGCTTAAATCAAGGTTGGTGCCAGGAGGAGGAATTCGCGATTTATAAATGTCGAGACGGTGACTTTCGCTAGCGTCCGAAACAAGCACAGCAAAGCCGGTTGAGTGTGCTATCAGATCCTTGGCAGCAGTTATGCCCAATATCTGTGCTGATACATGTAGGCCATCAAACTCTTCTATCGCTCTTTCCGATAAATAAGTTGGCTTTATATCCTCACTATTTCCAGACAATTGGTACAGCACCAAATGGGATCCAGTCCCCAACATGAGAAATCCGGGCAGTGTCTGCACAATTGCTGGCAAATTGCCTAGCAATGGTAGCCGGAGAGGCATCAACTGGTCTGCTAAGGCGCACACGACTGGGTTGCGAGCTTCTTTCTCAATTATATCACCGCGCTGTCTCCAGCCTCCCAAGTTGTACATTTTGTACATGAGTGCACGACCAGTTGAAGTCCCGGCATATATGATGGTCGGTCGCAATGGATCCGCTGCCACACTCGAGAAGTTGTGCCACCCAGGAGCCACACACATTACTGGCATATATTGAGGCCCTGTTGCGTCCACGAAGAACACTTTGCGTTGTGTTACTAGCGCCACCAATCCCCTGCTACTTTGAATTGGCTCAAGTTGCACTACACTGCCGTCGTCAGAGCTGACCTGTGTGTGGATTTCCTCAATTAAGCTACCATTGTCACCATGGAAAAACGAAAGACACTTGGCGGAGCTATCCACAGTGACCACATTCACACGATAGTGCAATGGCACCACTGCCACTTTGCCTTGGCCGTACTGCCACTCTTGGTCGAGAGTAGTTCCGAAGACGCGCTCCACATCGATGTGAAGATATTCGCCAGGGGTTGGTGCTGTTAACGTTGACGTCGATAGCTGTATCCATGGCAGTAGTGGTGCATTTAGTTTGTGGAGACTGTCCTGTCCTACCGGACATTGGTGGTAGTTCTCCTCTAATTCTGTCAGGGACTTCAAACGTCGAGGATCACCCGCGACAATTCGACTGTTGTGCCAAAGTCGTAACTTAAACAGTACAAGATCCCCGGACGTCGATAGAACAGCAAGATGAGTGCTGCGGTCAGATACAAAGTACAGATCAGCTACATGAAACGCTTTGTCTCCTGATGATGATCGTAGATCCAGAGCGTGTTGCCACATGAGCTTGAATGTTGTAGGATGGAAAAGCCTCAAGACAGTCGAGTCCAGGTCCAGCACCAGCAAAAACTGCAGCGGTAGTTCGCCATCGATGTTCGCCTTGCGACGTGCTGCCATCTGCTGGCCTCTCCCTGCAGGTGAAACATTGGGTCGAAAGGAGATCAACTGCGTCAATACCCGACCACTCGATGGCCTGAATGTGCGTCGAGGCTCGAACCAGTCGCTGAAACTGTGCGGAAGCGAGCGAGATCTCGGCCGACGCTGCTGCGTATCAGTAGGACTCGTGTCAAAATCTGTTGGATGCCTAGTTTTGCGTCTGCTTTCGATCCGCTTGATTGTGCTATTGAGAAGTTCCGCCTTCTGTTCATACAGCTCCAACTGCCGCTCGGTCGCGTCAATTTCAACTTCCAGCACGCGATACAGCTCTTCGGCGTCCTCAGCTGCAATACTATCTAATGGCAATCCACATATTTGCAGACAATGGAGCGATATAAAGAGTAACGCAAGACGGGAAGCGCCCATGGAGAAATAGTTGAGACCGTCGCTTCAAGTAGATCAATTTGTCTGTGTCTAAATGGCTACATTTACGTCAGAACCAATCATTTGCGTTCTCCAAAGTTTTAAACACCATGATTGGCCAATAATTAGCACGTGAAAAAGTTGCAGCTACGCGGGAATGACAGTCGGCAAATTGGCTAAGAAGACGTCGAGACGCGCTCGGAAGTGCTTGTTGCGGTCGTTTGCCGCGTCTCCTACCCGCTCTGTTGTTGTCCTCCCTCTTGGTTACTGCTCTGCTTCTCCCGTCCATCTCATAAGTCCAATCGCCTTCTGCGTTGGCTCGTGGACAATTGGAGAACGTGGCAGTTGACAGAGGAAAGACATAAAGAGAGAAGAAAAGGGAGAGAACTCGGACGCTAATTAGTGCAGTGTGTTTAAACTCACTAAGAAGCAACGAGAAGGGATAGGAGAAGGGTCTCGCACCTCCAGTCATTGAGCTTCTGGATTGCTAGGTACTTTTACGTTCCGTTAAATATTACATTAAGTTCACGGGACTCGAATTTTAGTGAGCCCCGTTCGATCAACTCCAGGCGTTGAGGTCTCTCTCGTAAGGGGGAATATGGCTCACATTGAGACCAAGGACCCGTTCGGCTTCGTGGGCTCGCACGTTGTGCGAAAACAGCCTCGGAAGGGCGGGGAAGAACATGGGTGGCTCACAAGGTACGACGAGGTCCTGGACTGCTATACGCTGTTCGTGCCTGGAGGAGGAGAGCCCAGATTGTTGGCGCGAGGAGAGGTGATGAAGTTCCTGTCGGCGCCAAATGTTGAGCTTCATGATGACGACCAGGACGAGTTCCCACCACCTGTAAAAGACACCAGCACCAGTCGGTATTTGGGGGTGAAGCTACGTCGACCTCCGCAACATTCAAGAGATGATGAAAACACTATGGATGAAGATATACGGGGCCATGTTACATGTTTCCTGCCTTTTGGAGACCGATATTGTGTTGAGTATGAGGACGGCTCGGCTGAAGAAATGTCCGAGTCTGCAGTCATTGACGGCATGATTGCACTGATCAAGTCGCCATTCTTCTCATCTCCTAGTCATAAAAACACACGGAATGGATCTATCAGAACTAGAAGAAGTATTGAGGAACTGGATGGAGAAGTCACCGTACCAGTGCGACGGAAGCGACAGCGGGTCAAGACACTTAGTGACGAAGAAGTCCAGGAAATCCCGAACGGATCTGTAGCTGTGGTTGAGAACGTGGCTGACCAGCAACAGGATAATGATGTGGTTATAGTTGATCAAGCGGAGGTGGAAGCTGAAACATCAACTGAGACTGAGCCGGCACCTAACATTTTAGAGATTATGAGTAGCACTTTGGGTACTAGCACTCCACGAGAAAACTCGCTAGAAATGGCGAGTCATCCCGTGGAAGAAACCATACATATCGACGAAGGTGAGGTGGCTGGCCAGGATGACACTGCGGCAGAAGTTTTCGATACTCCAGAAGAGCCTGTAAGCAGTGGGGGTTTAACTGACGCGGCTCAGACTGATGCAGCGCCAATGGAGGGGCAGAAGGATGTCCCGTTCTACATTATTGAAAAGAAGCCGCACGCGGCCACAGAGCCTCTACCAAGACGCGCTATGGCCTTTGAGCTGCTCCGAGCTTCGCTGCTGAATCTGCTGGATCGACGCGAGGCTAGTACCGTCAAGATTGCGATGCAGTACGACTTGCTGCGCAACCCCGACGTACGAGACCGCGACGCTGTGATCCGCTTGATGAATGCTGACGGATTACTTGTTCTCAACCATTTGCTGAACTCGTATGCAACTGAAGTGCTTGAAGACGAGGAGGAAGAAACTAAAGACGATTCACCGGAAAAGATCCGCGAGCGCATGGAACGTGACGACGAACTTCTACATGTTTTAAAGATTGTGGCGATGCTTCCAACACCGTCGAGAGACCAAGTGATCGCATCGAATATTGGGAAGACTATTAATTATCTAACCAAGAAGCGTGGACCGCCAGGGCGCAAAAGTGTTCTACCCAAGTGTATCACGGCTCTGGCGAAATGGATCAAGAGTTCGTGGATCAAGAATATCCCTCCAGCTCCGAAGGTGTCGCCCAAGGCAGCTTTCAAGCCTCGACAGCCAGCGAGTCGACCTCAACAACAAGCTCGACGTGGCGGACGCGGCGGATCTCGTGGACGCCCAAATCTCCAGTTGAATCGACGACAGCCGCCGCCATCAAAGCGACCGCAGCGTCAGGTCTCGTTGGTTCCAAGGACTCCCCCAGAAGAGCAGCGCATTCCGGTCGACAACACGCCGATCCCTCGGCTTCCACGTCTATCGTCCCAGCGAGCGGTTGCTACCTCTGCTCCTGCTCCACCGCAGCCTCCAGCTCCACGTCGTGTCACTGGTGGACTCAAGCCAGACTGGATGAGACAGAAGGAGAATCTATCGCGCTCTCGCTTCTGCATTGATGATTACACGAACGTTGACACGAGGCTGTATCGGGATAATCGAGCGCATCCTATCACGAACGTGCCGGTGGTGGGCACGCCTTCTCAAGCATTGACACAGCAGGACCAAAATCCGGACCAACACGAAGACGCTGGTGGTCCTGACGGAGTGTTTGGACGATCTCAAAGACTCCGTTTTGGCAAACGCTGGAGTACTCAAGAGTTCGGGATGATGGATCCTCCGGGCACTCTAAGACAACCTCCGAGGTCATACTCGATGCCTTCTTATTCCCGCTCGCTGTACTCGGATCAGTATGCATCTGTGTATGTGCCGCCTGTGCCGAATTCGTCTCGTCGACCTCGATCCATTCTGCGGCGTGTCAGTCGGTATAATGATGAGCCTGCTATTGACGGACCAGGAAGCTGATTCCGTCTGGATGAACGATAGAGATCACTCCAGTGGCGTGGGCTTGTGAGATCAACTACTACATGTACTGTAGTAGTAGTTTTTTTTACCAGCATTCCACAGATCAACATGAAGCTTCTTGCAGACGCTTAACGTTATTCTTCGACACTTAAGTTGACCTCGCACAGAATAAATCATTGACTACTGTAGATGCTCGGCCTTCTTCGTCGGTCTTTTATTGTCCAGGACTCGCGCAGATATGAAATGAGGTCCTGGTAATCGTACAATAACAACGGGGTTAGCGGATAACTTTAACAATTATTGAATGAAATGCGGACCTTGATGAAATCTTGTCGTAGGACAGCAGAGATGTTCAAGTACTGAACGTATTCTGAGAGAGAACTCTCGATCTTCTCCAGCTTGGTAATACGCGATTTCCAGATCTCGTTCAGGTCTGTGCGGCGCTCGAAGTCACGATAGTAATCCACCAAAGTGATCACTTGCTCGGCACATCCACTCACGCCAGGACCATACTTGGTTCGCAACGCAGTCAAATAATCCTGTTCGGTAAGGGGATCATCTTGCTTGGACTCAGACTCGACCATAGCAAGCTTAGACTTCGGTTCGGATGTTGCATTTACACAAGGCTTGGTTTCGACTTCATGAGGTTGAATTACTTGCGAGGACTTCAATAATTCCAAATGACCTGCCATCCTTTGCAAGGATGTCTGGATATCTTCACACTCCCTGTTGCTACCGAATAGTTGAGGTTCAATACGGACGCTAGCGTTCTGCTTTCCTCCAGATTCCTTGCTTTCTGCACTTCGACCCTCTTGAATATCCACAGTAGATTTGCGTTTAGAATCAACTTCCGCCTTTACAACGCCAGTTGCTGGTTCGCTGACTGTGCGATTGTCAACAGAGCCATTCGCCACCGCAGGGGCAGTAGAAGCAGTAAGATCTGAAGCCATCTTCTTCACCACCTGCTCCACCAAGGCGTTCACAAAGATTCGGACCTCCTGGTTCACATGATCATCATGTTTTGTTGTAGGAGTCGATGCAGTCTTGTCAATCTTGACTTTCGCTCTCTCTTTAGCCTTGACTTCATCCTTTACTTCCGCCTTGGCATCAGCAAAGTTTTCGATGCCCTGGCTATTAGCGGCCATACTCATGTTCTCGCCGACAACAAAATACTTCAAATCGTCTTCAAAAACATTGTCGGGTTTTGGAGGATCAGAACGGGATGGCGGTGGTGTTGCCTCTTCATGGGTGCTCCCGTTTGCAAAACAGGGTCCCTGCACTTGAAACGCGTGGTAGAAAGTATGCTTGTTTGGGTTTGGAGATCGAGCAGGCGATGGTCCTTCGCTAGCTGGTGAAGCCGAGCGATTACTATTCTTTATAGTTTTTTGCGGTTTGCGTGTCCTTTTCCGTCCAATGATAGAGTTGCTTATTGATGGCGATATCACGAATTTTCCTGCAGATGGTGACGAAGCTGGCAAAGGCGGCATGGCGCTAGCGTGAATAGGTGCATCAGAAGCGTCCAGATCGGTCTTAACTGCCAGTCCATTCGCTACATCATTCAAGTTGCTGCCAGCCTTACGCGCCATACTGCGTGATAACGTTGTGTCCTCCTTGTGGTCACGCGCCTGGTTGTCCTTATCTGTGCGTGAATCCTTATGTGATAGTTGACCTCCACCCCCACCTGAACTCTCACTTCCCCGCTCGGGGTTCAGGACTTCCTTCGAGATCTTGGGCCTGTCGTTGACTATTTCAGTCGTCACAACGACGTCGGCGAGGACTTCGGCGACTTGCGGCTCAATATCACGTATATTAGACGTCACCTTTTCCGTAGAAGTGCCACTGCTACATGCTTTATCTCCACCACCACCGCTTGACGACTTCACAATGCTCACCATCTCTACATCTGCAGCAGCGACTCCATTCGAAATCTTTGCTTCATTCTTCATGGTCGCGTTCGTACTCCCATTTTGACCTGTAGCAACTGTCACTGTTGGCGTCGATGTTCCATTCTCTGAAGCTCCAATGTTTTGCATCGCATCATCGCCGGTTAAGTCAATGTGACCTGTTGCAGAAGAAGATTGGGAGGAACGTCTGCTTTTCGCCTTTGCCTTCTTCACTGTCTTTGCTTTTGTATCATCGGAGCTCTGTTTGCGTTTCTTGACGATGCCTTGGACTTTCACTCTAGCAGGGGACGATCTGGACATCATTCGCTGACCAGATGGGGCTTTAACGTCCTTAGGCAGCTGTAGCTTCATCGACGTCAGCCCAAGTTTAAAGTGCTCTAAAACGGATTGATATATGGGGAAGAATCGAGTCTTTTCGCGTTCCTCGTCTTGCAGCACGCTTCGAAAGTGACGGCGACCAGGGATGAACTCATAGGGCATGTAGATCTCGCGGCGTGCGCCTCCACTTACCTTTTCACCTCGAGTGTGGAAGTAGCGGAAGAGACTAACTGGCGTACTTCGTCGCGTATCGTACGTTCCAACAATGAGCCCTACAAACGGCTCCGACGTCTCTTTGCTGGCGTTCGGACGCTGGAATAGTTGCTGATAGCTCGTCTGGTTCTCAATGTCTCGAACAGATGGATCGGGTGCAAAAGCCGGATGTGAATGATACCAGCCCACGACCTCCAGTTGCGCGTTTTCAATGATACCACGCAGTTCAATCTCACTGCCCGGATCCATCTCCACATCGGTAGATCCATCATCACCATCAATTTCCAACGAACGACATGGAAACGCTGCCTGAATGTACAGTGTCTTGGACGATTCGTCCCATTTACCACCCAGAAAGCCAATAATCTCGCAAGTGGCAAGATGAGCGTGAAGATCTGCCACGAACACTGCGTCTGGATGTACCACGACTTGGAACGGCGGGACTAGCGTAGGTCCACCGCGACTGCGACTATTTGAGTCCTCCACGTAATCTTTCGGACGGTAGGCGGCACATTGCACCATTGTATGTGGGTCCAAGTTGCCTGTCATGAGATTTTGACGAATTTGAGATTGTTGAACCGACCGCGACTGGCGTTTACCTAATGAGCGGTCACGACCTGATCCAGTGTGAGCAGCAGCTTCTTCAGCCTGCAGCCGTTCAATCTCAGCCTTCTCCTTCTCAGCGATGCTAGGATCGTCCGTAAATACGTTATCGTCCCACACAAAATCCTGTTTGTATGCCAGTTGTGTATGCACGTCAGATCCTTCACTTGACACTCCCGTCGTCCAGATACTCGATAACGGTGTCAGAACCAGATTGCTCGGGCCCTCTTTATCTGGAACATTTGCGGCATCCTTGGACTGCTTACCGGGTTTTACTTCTGATACATCGTCGTCCTCCAGCACCAGCATTTTCGCATGTCCATTTACCTTTCTCTTCTTGAGTCTGGATGCTCCTTTGCTCTTCTTCTTCTCGCTCTCTGGGGTTTCTGTCAGATCGATTGGAGAAGGCGATCGCGACACGATTGCAGCATGAGTGTCGTTAGAAACTTCCTTTCGAGACGGTTTTCGTATCCGTGGCTTGGAATCTTTAGCTGATGCTTTCCGACGCGGCTTCGCGGGTGTGGAAATCTCGTCTTGGCCAATTTCCAGCACTTCCGTTGCTCTCCTAGAGGTTGTCTTCTTATTGCTCGATTTTCGCGCCGGTTTTTTCTTCTCTCCAGCTGCCAATACTTCCTCCTCCACAATAAATACCGCATCATCTGCACTCTCCCGGTCGTCCCAGGCATCTTCTAGTGATTCATTTCCTTGTTTCTCCTCGAACGCCTTCATCTCGTCCATACGCTGCTTCTTCTCGGCCTGACTCGGTTCCTCCAGCAGCACCAGATCATCCTCAGCGTAGTCTTTTCCCTACAGCAAACGTCCACATATTGTTACTCTACATGAACACCACTCCTCCATCAGAGAATGTGACACATACCATGTGCAGCAACTGCGTCGCCTTGACGAGTGCACGCTTAAATTCGCCCTTCTTCTTTGACCACTTGCCGCTCTTACTACCCATCACCGCATGCACGTACACCTGATAGTGCGCTGTGAAGCTTGCGACGTTGCTCGGGTCGATCTCCACGAGCGAGAAGTTGAACTTGTCCAAAAACATGACGAGGCAGTGTCGCTTTATACGATACTCGCCCGTCTCCTCGCCTGTGGTTGTATCTAGCACTGGTACCTTCTGTGGAAGCGGGACTACTAGTTCGGCTACGATCTTCGGGTCCGTGCGGATACCAGCACGCCGCACAACTTCCCACGAGAGAAAGAGCACACCTGGCCACCACGGAAAGCCATGAACTTTGGCCCACACCACGTCAAAGTCTCGGAATTTCTCTTCCACAAGCGCCAGTGCCTCATGTCGCGCTTTCAGTGCCTTCTGGCCCGCTGCATCCAGCCGAGAGCTCGACGGCTTCTTCGCACCCGGAGCCACCATTTTGGCCACGATTGACTTGTGAACACATCATGTATGTGGCGGACATCACAATATGTGGTGCACATGTATTCGTACTTAGAATGGAAAAGAGGCGCGAAGAAAGCGCAGTTTAGTGGAGATGCTGACTGACAAGATGGAGACAGCGGCTAAAGCGTTCGAGCAGCACGTGGCGCTGGACGAGGGCGTGCTGGCCACGTCGGCGCCACTGGAGATCGGACAGCTGGACCGTGTCATCCTGCAGGTGCGTCCTCTGCTTCCTATATAGGCTAATTTATGGAGGGGGTGAGGCTCTAATGCCAATGCTACAGGTGAGTGAAGGCCTAGCAGGATACCCGGACCTGAGTCAGAAGACGTACGAGCTACGCACGCAGTTGGTGGAGGAAAAGTGAGTAGTAAAAGACTCTGAAGTACCATACAGGTGGAGACTGATGGATTATGTAGAGTTATTGGCGCTGCAGGAGCTATTCAGGGGGTACTGGACCTGCTGAAGGCCAACGAGAATGCGCTCGAGTATTTCAAGGGAAGCATTGTAGGAGGTTCGTATGCAGTTGCACAATGCTACAGTGGAGAGACGACTAATACTCCTGCTGTTAGTACTGACGGGACAGCCGCTGCCTCTGCGTCCTCCGTTCTTTGGCGGTACGATCCCTGAACCTGCTGCAGAGGCGGTTGTGGCGGAAGTGGAAGCTCTTGCGGCGGAGGAAGCGCCTAAAGATGTAGCAAAACCGTCAACGGAGTCCACTGCAGCCTCTGAAGAGAGACTAGCGCCGATCTTTGCCAAGCAGCAGGGTACTGCACGCAAACGCTCGCTGGAGAAGACAACGACGACAGAATCGGGAGCAGAAGGCAAACGACCAAAGGCGCTGAAGAGCGAGAAGGAAGACAAGGACGCTACAGCGCCTCCCCTCAGAACAGCATTGGCAAAAGAAACCAAATACGAGTCTGAGGAGGCCAAGAACCGAGCCATCAACCCCACGTACACTATCCCCACACAATGGGAGCACTTGTACTTCAAGCAGGTGGAAGTAATCAACATCAACAACCGCCTAGCCAAGGAGAAGATCCAAGCCAAGCGCTTCGCAGGCGAACCATTCTTACTGGAAGGCCACACTGGCTGGTTAAAGTTCGCTGACGGATGGGTTAAGCCGGACGGGACGTTGGACGCAGCGGCGTTCCTCAGCGGTATCCACGACGTGAAGGTTCCTGTGCTAGAGCACAACTACGAGGAGCGGAATCCCATCAAGACGCACTTGCCACTGAGTTACTACGTCAAGAACTACTGGGAGCACGGCAAGTCGGATTACTATTTGCACCAGTGGCAATTCCCATTGGACCCGAAGGCTGGTCCACTGCTGTGCTACAAGAGCGAGGAATTGCCTGTGCTGGGAGATAATTTGCTGCTGTATTGGCTGGACGCTGTGCGTGGCGACAACCCTTTGCAATACCTTTTCATGGGCCAGAAGAGCACAAGAAGTCGCATGCACTTGGACCCTGGCGGTCTGGGCATCACTATCGCCCCAATTATCGGCACTAAGCGTGTTACTATGCTGCACCGCGGAGCAGCCAAGCTGGACTCAGTGCACGAGTCTGTCAACTTTCACGACGTGGATCTGGATGAGATCCCTCAACTTGCGTTCCTCCCAGCATGGCGTGTGGACGTCAAGCCTGGCCAGATCCTGTACATGCCTGAAGGAACTTTGCACGCGTGTGAAAACGTGACAGCGTGCTTGTCGTACCACCGCTTCCACGTGGACACTGTGAACCTTCCAGGCTTCTTACGGTCGTTTCTGGCACAGGATTCTCCAACAATTAACCACGCTGAGATCCTCTGGAACGCTGCACACGATGTCATGTCTGCGATGGAGGATATCTACCACGCCAACAACCAGGTCCTAGGCAATGAAGTCGGCACGCTACGCAAGCTAGATACGTTGCGAGGACTGCGTCACGCTTGCCGTATGCTGTCGCTGGAGCAGGTTTTGCCCACGGAAGACTCGTGGGACTGGAAGAAACTGCTGGACGACATTGATCACTTGTTGGTGCGCATTGATTCGAGCGCCAAGCTGAACAAGAAGAAGAACTCGACGCATGAAACGACTTTCACTAAGGCGATGGCTGCGTTGAACGGCGAGGAAGCGGCCGAGGCCAAGCAGATTATTGAAGCTGCAGCAAACAAGAAGAAGCTGGTGGCAGCCAAGACCAAGGCGCAGACTACAGCTGCAAATACTCACTGGGACTCACTGAAGCTCAAGGTGGGCGACATTATTGGCGTGCAGGTCTTCGAGAAGCGCAACCGTGCTGAAGTATTGAAGGTGGTGCATGACAAGGTGCTCGTGCAGATCCACTACTCGGACTGGGAGTCGATTTATGACGAGTACTTGCCAGTATCGTCTCTCTATCAACGCAAGAAGGGCAAGAAGGTGGCACTGAAGAAGACCCCAGAGGTGCACGAGACGGTGATGGCGCGCTGGGGCAGCAAGGGCGATCTGTACAACGCCATAGTGCTCAAGGTTATTCGCACCAATGCCTGCTACGTGCACTACCTCAAGTACGAGAAGGACTGGGACCAGTGGATTTTGCCTGGTCACATCTTCCGCAAGTACAACAACGCCTAGAAGGCTCATTCAGCGAGACTACCAGGCAAGCAAAGGGTCGAATGTGTCTTGTGTTCATTTGAATTTTGTGTAAGCGGTCTTTTTTTTTTCGATTTTACATCGTCACTAAGCAAAAACTTACATATTCCGGTATACCAAGTCAATTTCTCTGAATACGGTGAATGAGGCGAGTACTATGTATGAGGCCACAGAAGACGACATAGCTGCCCACGAAGGCGTAGAACCCAAATACCGAGATTACAGCCACGATTAGCACAATGGCTACATAGCCCAACGTGCGTTGCAACCAACGACCCCAAGCAGACGAAGCTCCAATGAACGGTAAGTCGTAGCATGCGTAATGACTAGCATCCCACCTGCTCTCACACACCCAGCAGTATTCGTAGCGACAATGGCTACACGTCATGTGATTGCAGCCTTCGTTCTTCCAAATGCGCATCTGACAATGTGGACATGCTCGCACAGCCTTCTGCTTGCCCACTGACGCTTCCCACGCCAGATACGACTTGTCCATTTCGCCTCGACAGAACCAAAACCGATGAGCGTATCCACGACAGCGGAAGCAGCCTACTGTGTCGCATTTCGGGCAGGTAAAGTTGTCTGTGCTCTCACAGATAATCAACTCGTCGCAGCCTGCTCTGGGACACCATCTCGCACTCGGATTCTTTTCATCCTGGCAAAAAATAATCAATAAATAAACCCCACCACCATCATCTTCCTGTCCAGTGTAAGCGTACTCGTTTGCGCTTCAATGCTGCTCGATACTGCGCAGTCTCGTCCTTGCCGACAATGCGTTCCATGTCCTCTTCCTTGATGCTCTGCTTGCACTCCATTAACGGACATACCAATTCATCTGCAGCATCAAACTCTCGGTCAGCAATGTACGTGTCTCCCATTGTAGCTTGCTATTGCCCGTACCTTCGTCCACTTGCCGCTCCTTGATCTTCATCTGAATATACCGCCGAATGCACTCTGCATGAAGCACATACACAGTTATCAGCCCAACAGACCTCGTTATAGAGTGACAGATAGTTCACTTACCGGCGCAAAAGCGGTGGCGACAGCGCAGCTTTGCATGAGCCTCGACAACTTCGCTCTCCACGTCACGCAGCGCCAGTATAGGTACGACATCCAGACAGATCGGACACGTATCGGGCGCTACGAACGTGGCCACAAAGCGCCGATAACTGCGCACGAAGCCGCGCAGCATCGTCATCTTTCCAATTCGCAAATCTGATAATGACAAATTCTGATTCTGATTCGAATGGTTGTCAAAAAGTAGCCAAGAAGAAAGAACACTTACCTAACTATCACGATGGCTGCGTGGGTGCCATGGACGCTGATGCTGGCGCTGTTACCAGCCAGTGCGACGGAGCTGCTCAAGGACGAGGCTGAGCGCCAACGTCTGCGTGAGGAGCTCACGCGTGTGGCCAAATATTACTCCAGACTGCTGCTGGTCTGGGCCTTTCGGGCTGCGCAGGTCTTCGCCGGGATCTCGTTCCTCTTCGTCACGGCCTCGCTGCTCTACGCGCTGCTCTATTACCTCGTCATCCCGTCCAGATTCCATGAACAGGACGTTTTCTTTAACTATGGAGATCGTCATATGGATACCTATGCCCATGGGGGACATACACCCTATGTGCCAAAGGCGTCTTTGGATCTGCAGGATCCAATACACCAGTGGCAGTCGCTTGTGGCCAAGCCTGAGCAATCGACGCAGTCTGTGCTGGTCCCTGGTGTCAAATACGACGTGATCGTGGAGCTAACAGTGCCAGAATCACGAACTAACGCGGAGGTTGGTGTCTTCATGGTGTCCACAACGCTGTATGCGAACCGGGAGAAGGGACTGGCCACAAGTGCTCGACCTGTGACGCTTCATGATATGCCAGCCCCTGTGCGATGGATGAGACTGGCCTTTTGGCTTATGCCTTATGCGTTGGGCTTCACGGAACCGGCCCAGACTCTCCGTGTAACGGCGATCAATGGATATCAGGAGATCTCCGAGTACCCTCTTACACGCGTGGATATTGAGCTGAACACTCCAAAGCTGCAGGTCTATTCGGCCAAGCTTACAGTGATCGCCCAGCTGACCGGTCTCCGCTATTTGATGTACCATTGGGCTGTGCCGACAGCGATTTTGTTCATCTTGAACATTGTCTTCGTGGAAGCACTGGCTCTGGTCATTCTGTACGCGGTGTACGCGCTGCCGCAGTTGGATGAGGAAGCCGCTGCTGATGCTGCCGTGTTGGAAGCGGCGGCAGCCGATGCGCGTGATAAGGCGAAGAAAGTGTTCGAGACAGACTCGGCGATGGAGACTGAGGATACGACGCACGCGAAGAGCGAGACACTGATCAATGAGGTGGCATTTACTACAACGAGTATGGAAACGTTGTCGGCGGTGGTTGAAGAAGCGTCTGAGGATACGGAAGACATGAAAGAAGAGAAGGTGGACGTGAAAAAGGAGCCCATGGTGGAATCCCCGTGAGCGATGCAACAGTCGTGATTGTTGAGTTGGAGTGGACAGAAGAAGTGATAGTTGCCACGTGGTTATGAACCGAGCTGTGCGTAAAGAACGAAGACAGAAGTAAGCTCCATTGCGCTGTAGTGCATTGAGGTTGCTTATTATATGAGGAGAATGGATACGCCACCAGAATCAGCTCCAACTTGCAACAGAGTAGTGCCGAATACATGAACCACAAAAATGAATATGATCAGAGCGCTCTGTGAGAGCTATCGTTTGCCTTCACTAGCTTTCCGTGCCTACACACAAAATGTAAAGGAAGGACAAGAAGGAACTCGGTTGGTACACCATGCATTTTTTGAGATTGCAATAAATATAAAGGTTGGAGGCTTTGCCGTCACGCCTGACGACACTAGCTCAAGAGTTCATCAGGCTGTTGCTGGCTAGTCTTTTCATCCAGCCATCTACTCTCCTTGGTCTGCAGTACGTCAAGTGACTTGTAAGCGGCGAAGATTCCGACTCAGCGTCTAGCTTGCTCACCTGCGGGTTGTAGTAGTAAAACCACTGCGCCGACGCATCCCATAACAAAACCTCGTGCGTAGCAGGGTGAACTGTCTCGAGCATCAGCAGCACAGGTTAGCAAGAAACTCTCAATGATCTAAGACTACAAACGCACTCAGATCGGCAGGTGGTAGCCACTGCATTTCTTGAGGTTGTGAATGATTAAAGTAGTAAACCATTTGAGTCTCGCAGTCCATCTGCAGCCCCCAGTACGCTACGCCAGTTCTCTTGTCCGTTGTAGCGAAGGTGTCCTCACCTTCCACTGCCACAGCATCATAAAACCATTCTCCATCCAACACAAACGCGTCCGTGTTGAGCAGTGCCTCCACTGTCTTGGAAGTCCTAGTTGACGTCTCAGGATGGTCTTGCTGATCCTTGCCATGGGAGGTTGGAGACTCTGTCAAGTGGTCATAGTTATTGCCTCCCCCTGAATGAGGATTGGAAGCAGAGCCCTGATCTGCAGGTTGAGATGACGAGAGCGCCATATAATACTCGATGGGAATCGCGACCGTTCAAGATCTGAAGTGGCTACCGTTTCCCAGCTTGAACACGCCAAAATGGCAGTTTTAGCTTAAGCTGCGTAGCTTATCATCGGAATGAATGGAACTGCCGTCGGTATCCAATTGCAAATGTTTTCAAAATCCGAAGCACACTACACAGCAATAAATTCATAGAAACAACCGACCGCTTCTGTTTATTAGCTCGAATCCTCGAGGGGGGGAAAAAATACAAAATACATTCATTTCAAGCCCTCGAGCTCTGCCTGGTCGGCACGTAGCGGAGCGTCGGCGCCTAAAACGAAAAAAGACGACGACTCGTTCTCGGGGGAGCCCGCGCGAACGGTGGCTGTCGTCAACTTCCCCCGTCCGCCATCCCCGACGGTGGGCTCTTCCCCTCTTCAGATGCTGTTCGTCGCTAGCTCCTCCTTTGCATTATGCAAAATTTCCACAAGTTCTTTCGCAGTTGGTCGGCTCATAGGTGCGTACGAGAGGCACTGCGCGACCATCCGTCGCACGCTTGCCGGTGCTGCGAGGAATTCTTGCCGGTTTTCGTGAGGTACCAGCGGATCCTGGCGCCGCACACGCTTGACTAGCTCCACATCTGACATTGTGTTGCCCAGTGCCTCGACCAGCGACTGATACGGTGACACACGCGTGAAAATCTCGCTAACCAACACTCCAAACGCGTAAATGTTGTTTTTCCGCGCGTCCATGGGCGATGACCGAGTGATAATCTCTGGTGGCAGCCACGCAACCTCGCCCATGCCATAGGAATACGTGGTTGCCGTGCTTGGGCCTCCTAGTTTGGCTGAACTTGGTACACACTCGAACAGACTGAGCTTGCAGTTCATGGCCTTGTTGACGAGTACCTTCCGGCTCGATAGCTGCTTGGCACACAGATTTTGCTCCGTTTCGTGCAGATAGGCAAGTGCCAATGCGACGTCACAGCACATCTGTAACTTGGTTGCGATATCCAGATTCACATCAGTGTTCGCCAGCACTGTCTTCAAGTTTCCCTTGTCCATGAACTCGGTCACTACAGCGAAATCTGTACCGGCCAGCCAAGTGACGCCCACTAAACTCGTGATGTTCGGGTGCGAAATAGTCGCAAATGTTCGCGCCTGGGCCATCAACGCCTTCGTCACGTACGAGTCCGTCACCTCGGACTCGACACGCTTCACCATCACCTTGTTGCCGTTATACTCGCCCATCCACAGCCGACCTGTACCCTGAGACTTGACGAGTGCTATGTCACTCTGTGGCAAACGGAAGTTACGCAAGAATTCATCGTTCGAGATGAAAGATCCTTTATCCGCAGAAGCGTCACCCTTACTCATCAGCGTCGCTGTAGCTTCGTTGTTGTTAGCATTCGCGTTGGCGGCCTTGCGCTTGAAATACATTCGCAGAATGAAGATAGCCAAAATCACGACAATGACGACGACAACCACGATGATCGCAACGAGAGCTCCAGTAGAAATTCCGCCACTGCTATCGCCTGCGCTCACGTCATCTACAGAGCCTGAGCTGCTGGAATCATTTTTGGCAGCATTTGTGGTGCTGTTGATCTCCGAATAGGTATTATTAGTCATATCTGTATTCGGTGAAGCGCACGACACGGTCATGCCGTCAGGTTGGTAGATAGTCTCATTGCATAACCGATGATACTGTTTTGCCCATTCATGTGACGAGAGAGTGTCCGCATTTTTTTCCAAAGTGTTGAATTGATCATCAGAGATTGTCTCGTTGACCTCCGATAAATCCACAATACTACAAAGCGTAACACAACACGTCTAGTTAGAAAATATTTGTAAGGAAAGAATAACTGGCAGGCGATGACGTACATGTTCGTAGCTGTTGTCCACTGGCGTTCGTATAGGAACATTGGGAACATCGCAACGGACGTGTTTTCCAATTCACTGCGTAGCAAAAGAAAGGTTGTCAGTAACATTGCTCTATCTCTCAAACAAAGGGAGGCTCAGCTCACATTCGCTGTAGCTTGTCAGTGCTACCTTGCAGCGAGAGATCCGTGAGGTTCGAGTCAATAAAATGGCTATATAGCATTCAGCACAGCGGATTAGTTAACACGACTGTTCCATCCCCAGTACTCTCCGTCGAGTTGAAAGCAGCCCATACATGCTCAAGATGGAACTTGGCAAATTCAGTTGAACAATTTCTGCCTCAAACTCCACGCCTTGAAAGGTCCTAAAATCTCGCACAAGAGCAGCGTCAGCGTGTCGCTCGTCGCATAGTATCGCATCATAAACTCACAGATACTCCAGAGAGGGAAATTTCTCGAAATCCAACGTCTCGTTGTTGACCAGCTTAGTGGGCTCGTTCAGGGCCTTGAAGTTTCTACAAAAGTTGAGTTAGTAAGATTCCGATGCAGCTTTTGCATTCAAGGGTGACCTACAGTGATGTTACTGAAAGGCTATTAAATGCCTCTAAAGACAGGTTTAGCTTGACCACCCCCACGTTGACCTGAAAAGAGCCTCCGCCAATATTTTCATCGACAGAACCGTTGTTCAAACACTCATAACTCGCGAAGGTGTCATTCAGTGTGAGCTCTATTGCTTGCTTTTGCCCTGAGCACTTCACGTTGATTTCCCCGTCGGCAGCCGCGTCTCGGACCGCCACGGAGGCCATCACTGCCGCCGCACCCAGGAAGCTCCAGCGGCCTGCGAAGCGCATTGGTGCCTGGGGCGTCGGAATGTAAATGGCGGCGCCTGCTCCGACTGACTCTCGCAACGCGCAGAAAATGAACCCAAGGAGTTACCCATAGTGAAATAAAGTGATTTGTCCCCTAGCCCTAGGACGTGGGGTAAGACAAATTTTTAAACGCTCTTGACCGAGTCAAATTTGTGATAATGGTGGCGATGTACCCTCTGCGGTGGAGACGATCGTCTCTAAGGCAGCGGCGATGACAGCTCTAGCTCTGTCCTGCTGCTGCGGAAGGTTAAAAGAACGACAAGGCGAATCGCTTGTTGCATATCTTGTTGCAAGTGAAACCATTCCAACGCTCCCTAAAAACGACCGTTGTGTACTGACTGGACCCATTGGGTCTCTTAGCTATATCAGTCATACATGTACTTCAAAGGAAAAGGGTACATGTACAATCGGGTACAAGTCCCCACGCCGTCCCCATTCGGGGACTAATCTGAGTGATTCACTGGCGCCAAATTGGAACAATGGCTTCATCGCCTGCGCTTCTCCATCTTAGCTAGTGCATGTAGTGACTCCGTTGTCTCCGCAGCGGAGACTTTGCATCGCATTACTTGACAAATTTGTAAGAAGCAAATCCCCATAAAAAAAAATCCATCCTCTTCAATCCTCGCCAAAACCGATACGTCACTGATTATCGATTTCCTAACGCTTTCCTCAGCAATGGCGTCGACGGTGCGTAGCTTCGTGCCTGCGACTCTGGCTGTGGCGTTCTGAACTGTTCGGCTTTTTGTCTGGTGTTGTAGAGTGGCAGTGAGGAGGCTTCCGAGGAGCAATGGGACGACATGGCCATCGTGCGGGTACGCTCTATTAGTCGAAGTTAACGCGTCTCCTGCGTTGTCTCATGCATCTGTGCGCTGGTGTGATTGTTATTCGTTGGATGCAGGCGTTTGAGGAGGCATTGACAGACCAGCGTGCGCGGAACACTACATCTGTCAAGCCAAGTGGCAGGTGGGGCGGCGTCTGCAGCTGAAGGACTCTAGATATGGTATTGGACTCACGTTGCTCTCTCTGCTCATAGGAAGCATAAAGCGGTGACACGCTCGAACGGCAAGAAGGCTGCAAGAAGCGTGTCTATCGAGGAAGACGAGGAGCAACTCGGACATGGCCATCCAGCGAGGTCTGCAGCAGCGGATATAGGAATGTACGGACAGCCGAACGCCGCAGATTTCGCAGGAAATGCAGCTGGATTCAATCCGTTCGCCTATCAACCGCAACAGCATCCACAGCAAAAACAGCAGACGTCGAGCGACGTGTACCAGGCTGCGTACGCTCAAGCATACGCCCAGCTTCAAGCTCAGTTCCAGGCTACGTATCCTGCTGCAGCACCTCAGCAGCCGTATGGACAAGGCGCACAGATACCTGCATTTCCGGCGCAGTCGTCGTACTATCCACCACCGCCGCCGATTTCATCAATGCCGACGCCATTCCCGGGTTTGCACGGTGCTTCAGCTCCATTCTCAGGGACGACACCCAGCACTACAGGGTCAGACGACGGCTTGGCGGACGTTCTCATGGCATGGTATCAGTCAGGATACTACACCGGCCGCTTCCAAGCCATGCAAGAGATGAAGATTCGCGGTCGCCGATAAAAAAAATAGTTTGTTAGAAGTCCCGTCGTAGCAGCAATTGGAGCAGCTCGTCACAGTTTTAGAGCGGTGCACAATGACCGGAGCGAAAAGAAACGGCAGGTTGATTCGATCTTTGATGCATACTCAACGCTCTCACTAATACAAAGCTCCGTCGCTGCATCGCTTATCAGTAGGTCCTCAGCTGCTATGCTCACTGGCGCTTCTTGATCGCGGCGTACTTGGCAGTTTTGGAGCTTTCTTGCAGAAACTTTACCAACCAGTAGCACTGCACAGAGATGGCATCAGTTAGCAGCGTGACTCAGCATTGATGCAGAGAGTAATTGAGCTACACACCAGCGCCAGCATGTGGAGCCCCACGAGGCCGCCCACAAACGCATTCATACCGAAGCCCAGCTCCGAGCCGAGCAACATGATGCCATCGGTCACCGCCATGATTTGATCGCGAACTCGATCCACCTATTTAGTCTTGAGACTCCAGAATTGTAAGCATTGTTTTTGCGCACCTTACAAATTTCCAGTGAAAAACCAACTTCAACGAGAGTGATTTTCATTCTGCAAGATGCCGCGCTCCAACCGTGCAGATGGTCACGACGCGGAGGCAACAGGTGCGTTGCAGCCCGCTTTTAACCTCTCTGGCTGTGTACACGCCCCACCTAACCATGCTAGAATCCTCTGCCGTCGTAGTAAGCACCAAACTCCGCGCTCAAACGAGCAAAATCGTTGACTGCGTGGCGAAGTATTTTGAAGAACTGGAGGCAGACGTCAGTATGACTCGACAAAGGAGCAAACGAGAAAAACGGCAGCGATCCACGGAGAATCTGGGGTTTAACGGCGTAGTAGCACAACATGGCGGCAAAGGGTATCCTGGACATGCGGAGAAGGAAAATTGCCGGGGAGACATTCACCCAAGACGTGATAATGCTCAGTATGCCGAAGACTCTGTGGTGGGAGGTTGCAGTGGACGCGTGGGGACCCCTAAAGGTGGCAGTTTGCTGGAGTCTAAGAGCTGTAGTACTCAAGCGGTAAAAAAAGATGCGCTCGCTTGCCACGACTGTGTGGGTAGCATTACGGACGACATGGATGATGACGATGAACACCACAGCGAGCAATACTGGCATTTAACTACATTGGACCTCCCTGAAACCCCTTCTACAATCTTTACAGTCGGGTACGCTGGCATCAAACAAAGTAGCGATAAACATCTTCGAGAACTCATCGAGACACTACAAGCAAAAGAAGAGGATATACCCAACTGGAACGCGGCCGTGCCGGGTTTGTGGTCTTATTGGGAAACGCGCAGGATTAAGCGCGACGAAATGACTCTTGGCGACTTTGACCAGGTGATGAAGACTCAAAAACCGCTACGTCCATTGTCTACACCGCGGCGAATGCAGTGCGATTGGTGTGAGACGCTCAGATCGAGTGAGAATTTTCTTTACGACGAGTCGAGTATGCTTCTTAGGAAGATAGACAGAGCGAATGTCCAGATGCTGCTGCTCAAGAAGGACATTGTCGTGCCGAACGTGTTTGAGGCTGATTGGGGGAGATCTTTGCTCGAGATGCGTCCTCCTCGGTCTTCAGTAGAGCTTCAGCAATTATTACTCCCTTTTGAGCTGGTGCGATGCGATGATGCAAGAATTATCGATGCTCCATCCGAGATTGTATCACTTGCGGACAGCTACTTGCGCAGCCTTCGACGTCCAGATATCTCGCTGACTCGGGCAGCAATGAATATCCGCAGCGTATGGAATACCGCGATCGTAACGAACAGACTCGCAACACTGGTTGCAGAGGAACGACCATCAGCGGTGCCACAACCAACAGAACCTGAACCGCCGTTCAGCTCAGCACCCCGCAATTCGCAGCTCGATAGAATGGTACCTGAAAGAGCAGGAGTATCAGAGCCCATTTCGAATTATCCGGTACCAGAATCACGATCGGATTTACTGAATACGAAGATTCGCAATGATGGTCGAAGAATTGCTAAACAAACCAACCAGCCGTTAACAGTTGCTGCAAAACTAAAAGTTATTGCTGAGGACAATCCGCCGAGCACCGACTATTTTTTGAGCGATGGATTTTTGCAGTGCACCTGGAGTGAGCCACCGACAGAGGTCGAAGTGGGCGACGTCGTTGTAAGAGAGGAAGCGAACACGTGTGATTCCAATGAGGACTTAAAGCGCGACCAGCTTCTTCAACAACTTTCTCGACCAGCGTTGTGGGGTCTTATGCGGAAGAAGTTGCTTCAGGTGGATCAAACTTCTTTTCAACATGCTCTGAACCGCGTCAGTTTGGAGGCTTTAGAAGCGATCATCTTGCAGCAATTTCAGAAGGTGAAAAGCATGTCCCTAAATCCTTCAGCATTTTCCAGTTTCGAGATAGTCGAGGTGTGCACCGGTCTTCGCCAAGCTGCTTGGCTACATACGTTGCGGTAGGAGTGTATCTTCCAGTGTTGCTGCTGCTAAAACGACTAACTTGTTGGCGTTTTTGGGGCAGCATTGTGTCGATCACTCAGGCTCGAAATGGAGATGTGCTGTCTGCAGATCTAGTTAAAATTCTTTCCAGTGCCAAGTACAAGCACGTACTGGGCTCTTCCAATCGGAAAGATCTTCTCACGTACCTGCAAATAATCGGTGGAAATGCGGTGCCTTCGGAATCAATAGCTCAGGTTGAAGCCAATGCTTCTACATCCAAGGAAGATTCAACACTTCAGCCTGCATCGAAAAGACGAAAAGTTTTACAAGCAGAGAAGGAGAGTGTACCTGTCCGTGTTTTGTGCTCGGTCGAATTTCTGGAGCAGGTGGATGCATGTAGAATGTACTGCTTACTGTTTGCACAATGTATATACTAACAGTAGTCTGTATCCAGGATGACCTTCTCGATGAACTTTGCACTGAACAGCAGATTTTTTTCGCTGATCGAGATCTTCCACCACCAATTGATATCCTCGTGGACGAGAGGAACTGCATTTGTGTTGTGAACGAAGTTACGTTCCAAGGTGAGCACTCTGATGAATTTGACATAAAGAACAACCATTCTGAGCATATTCTTGTGTAAGCAGCTGAAGCCAACACACGAAATTTCATTTTGAGTTTGGCTCGCTTGCAAATCCAGTTGAAAAAATGTTGGCTTGTTATCGGTAAGAAGCTTAAGTTTATCAATTTCGCAGTGCGTCTACTTATACTTTCGTTCAGCCCTGAGAACCTCTCCTTCAGCCGAAACAGAAGACATTATGCATGCGTTTCTTGCAGCTCTGGTGCAATTTCGGATTGAAGTTCAAGTTCTTACCAGGTACAATTATTGTTTTATACTCCCCCCAACACTGTTCAGGTTTTGATTATATCTACTACGCTGACAGCTTTTCGTGCGAGGAAACTGGTCGCCTTGTGCGTGCCGTCGTGGATGAATGCGCCGACGTCGCACTGAATGATCACCGTATCCTGCCTCGCTTGTGGTTCGAACGCCCATTCCTACTGGAAGAAGTGTCACAATTCGAACGCTTTCTCGTGTCGACGAATATCGTTAACCACTACGCGGCACAGTCACTGTTGCATAAGATCTCCATGAACGATCTTTTCTCCAAAAGGTACGCGCTTGCAATAAACTGTGGAGTAGTTGCATTTGAGCTTAACCAACGATCATATTTGTAGTTTGGATGAGTTAAAGCTTCTCGTCCAGAATGCGGTGACGGACGAACAGCTCGATCTGCTTTGGCGGTATGGTTTGTATTTTTTCTGTACCCACTCAAGCTTTCGCTCAACCTTGTTGCTGCGGTTTCAGGCTTGTGCAGCAAGATCATGGGCTCAATGGACGCATGCAATAGCATGTCAGGCAACAAGCTCTGATGCTTAGACCGATTACAGAGGAATCCACGCTCAAACTGGTTTCTTTTCAAATCCAGGAGTCTTTCGTTGAAGTGGTGTCACGCCACTTCACCACTGGTGCGTACATGTACTACAGTACTTCAACTGACTTCCAAAATCAAGTGTTACCTGTGACAAGGACTCCTTGCCAAGTTAGCTATTCGGACATTAATCTCCAACCGAGCCTTAGTTCGTCAGCAAAATGGATAACGGGCCGAGAGGATAAGGGATGTGATGGCAGGGCAAACCCATTTGACAATTTGCAGTATATGCAACTGATTTCCGATTATCCAGCAGTGAACGTAGGCTGAGAATCGGCATTGATATCGCCCGAATGCTACTAGCGATCATCGCTCTCACCATGACAACGGTGTATGCAAACACTAACGTGACGATAACCAACGACGAGGACACAACGGCGACAATCCAAGAACACGAAGTACAGGTTACGCCCTCTGACGGAAGCACTACCTCCTGGGAAATAGCGGATCCTACTTCCAACAGTGATCACCCTGGACGCATAACGATCGCGTGTTCAAGTGATGGCATTCTCACAATTGCAAACTCATCCGACAACGGATATGTCCAGAATTTGTGCGTTTACGATTCACCGCCAAATTTCCCGTAATGAACTAACGTGTTTATTTTACCACATCTTCGTATCCTACAGGTGAATTCAGTACGGCCAAGCGGAAGAGCTGTATAACGCAACAGCTGCCACAACTGGATCTCCTCGAGTTAATTTTTTGGAAATAGCGGACGATACACTGACTGGGTTGAAGAACCTGTCGTTATTGTAAGTTTTCTGTTAAGTGTTAGTCGAAATTGTGATGCAATTTACCAATGAGATCGTCTTGCAGATCATTGCTCGGAATTAACTTCAGTACTCCGGACGTGGCATTCGTGCTACCGGACACGATGTAAGGTGTGCTGGCATACAAACTGAAACGAAGCTATGCTTATCATGTTTGCGTATGTATCGTAGTGAGATCTCTGCCACTACTGCCGAAGATTTTCGTTCACTGCGTCAGACATCTCTACATTGCAAGAAATGCACGCACAATAAGATGATATCCTAGATCAAAGCACATGCACTAATTGATGCTCGTGACTTACTAGCGTGCTGCTCAACAACGCCGTTGCGACGTTACCGAAGTTTTTCTATGAACAGCAGTATCCGCAAGGAGCGGTCAACCTGAAAGTTATTTTATTTAAGTTAAAGTCTGGTTTCTCACGAATGCGACCATAACGTAGGTCACTGCAATGGAGGTTGCCAATCTCGATGGAGCTTCCAGTCGTGTACTTCGAAAACTTGAGAGCGAATCTCGACAAATGTACGGGATGGAAAAAAATACGTATCGTTGCAAGATTCGTGCTCCAACAACACCAACGATTCCTATCCACTAATTGCCCATGTATGCAACAATGGAGAAGCTCTTCCGGCGGATTCTGGTTCGTTGCAGGTGGATGAAGCGTCTAGACCCAACACTGCAGGTGAACACAGCATTGGCTTATTCACTGTGATGGTTGCCATAACGGTGGTGATGACTGCTTTCATCGTAGTCTAATGTGTGAGGCTGCCAGATATGACAAGGAAAGGTTCGAGATTCAAATATGAAGGCCCCAGTCTTATCTACAGCCTTACCGGCTTCCATACACAATACTACGCACGGTCTTGAGCATGACATCACCCCAGGCCATAATACCCGTCGCAAGTTCTTGCAGTACGTCCTCGGAGAGCGAGAAGTGAGGTCGGTAAATCTTTAAGAACGCCGCACGGCGCATGGTCACAACTAGCTCACCTTTATCCTCTTTGCCGACGGTGAAAACAGCAGTAGCTGACACATCCTTCCGAACGCGCTCAGCCGAGTTGTACGGATAGAGTTCGTCCTGGTCGATGGAGTCGAGCACGACCATCCCGCATTGCCCATCTGGATCCATCTTCGGGAACAAAAGCGAGCTCGTTTCCATTGTGACATTGTCGAGAACAGTCGACAGTACCCGAGCGTTGTATACACTACCGTCAATTGTCTCGTAGTCGTCCCTGACCGTGATGTGCCCCAGTCGCTCGGTGATACTGATCTCCATGTTCGTGAGGTAGTACACGGCTGCATCATAGACTTGCTGGAGAGACTTGACGCCGGGGAATTGCACCGTCTCGAAGCGTACCCCGCAGAAATCTCCTTGCGCCGTCTCGAAGCGCTCGTCGGAATACTGAGCCTTAGCTGGGTCGACGTAGTGTCTAGGATCCATGGCGAAGTCGTACGCGTTGCGTAGCTTTTCCTCTCGAATAGAGACGAGTTTGGCTCGGCGTTGGTCCCAGTTTTTTGGGAGGCAAATGCGAGTGTAGAGTGGATGAGATTGTTGAGCTCCCTGCAAAACATGTTGATGTTACTTTTGAGTTTTTGTCGTTGGGAAGCGAGAATGTACCAAACATCGACTCATAGCGGACTGCGCCTTGGCAATTTGAAGGTGCTTCTCCCGGCCACTGTGGCTCAGCTGTGCGATCTCTAATTCAGCTTGTTTTAAGCGTGGATCTCCATCTGGACCATGTCCAGACCGATATTTCAGCACTGCGACTTCCGACTCGAGTCCGTGGAGCTCTTCGCGAAGTCGTTTAGCTTCCTCCTGTCAGTGAGAACATTTTACAGGGTCAACAAGAGAGCATTGTTGCACACGTCAACTGTGACTTTACCCGTCGCGCTGCGTAGGTGCATCTGCGTCGCTTGGGTTTCGCTTCGTCCAGAAACTCGGTTTGCTCCGCTGGGTCGTGTGCGTCATGTAAGAGCCGTTCAAAACTGACCTGACAGCTTAACTCCATTTTCTTTCGCGAGTAGTGGGACTTGATTCGTGTCGTTTGCTGATAAGTCGGCAAATTCTGAAATGATCTCACTTCACGTGACCTCATCAATATCTTGAGCAACACACCGGTACGTGATTACTTGTTTCAAGTGTTGGTGTAGTTTACTTTGGGATTCCCAGTTGTTTTTCGTGTCATGGTCAACTGCGAAAGCCTTTCCAAGTTGACGCGCATCCTACCAATAGGATCGATTCTCAGTATTGCAAACGAGCGGGCTATATAGAAATCCTTTCGTCTTCTTGAGGAAGTAGCTCAACCATACGTGCAAACAGAAAAGACTGTTTCGTCATGATGACACCACACTTATTAACTGGAAGAACAACTGCATTATTACGTGGTGGAAGGCGTGACATATTTTTATAGCATTCATTCGGAAAAATACAAGTTTTCATGTATGATGGTATTGTATTCCATCTAAGATCTAAAAGTTTTTTCTCAGTTGCAGAAGGAAGCTTATGAGTGGGAAGCTACGGAGTGCACGGACCTTAGCAACCCCCATATACAATACTCCGGATTGACTTGACCATGACATCACCCCACGCCATAATGTTTGTTGCCATCTCTTGCTGGATATCCTCCCGGATATCGAATTGGGGTCTGTGAATCTTCAAGAAAGCCGAACCTCTCATTGTCACGATGAATTCGTCTTCGCCTCCGTTCTCCGATGGTTTATTCCTTGCAGTAAATACAGCAGTAGCAGACACATCTTTTCGCACCCGTTTGGCGGGATTGTACGGATAGAGTTCGTCCTCATCGATAGAATCGAGGACTACGATGCCGTACTTCCCTTCGGGGTCCATCTTCGGGAACAAAAGCGAGCTCGTTTCCATTGTGACGTTGCTGTGGACGGTCGACAACACCCGAGCGTTGTACACACTACCGTCAATAGTCTCGTAGTCGTCTCTGACTGTAATGTGTCCCAGTCGCTCCGTGATGCTGATCTCCATGTTCGTGAGGTAGTATAAGGCCGCATCATAGACTTGCTGGAGAGACTTGACGCCAGGGAACTGCACGGTCTCAAAGCGTATACCGCAGAAATCTCCTTCTGGTGACTCAAAGAGCTCGTCCGAGTAGGTTGTCTTGTCGATGTCAACGTAGCGGTTCGGATCCATGACAGAATCGTACGCGTAGCGTAGTTTAGCCTCTCGGATCGAAATGAGTTTCGCACGGCGTTGATGCCATTCCTTTGGCAGGCAAATATGAGTGTAGAGTGGGTGTGAATGCTGAGACCTCTGTATCAACGAGCACGAGCGTTAGATAGATGGACAATCTGCATTGCAAAGCTACTGCTGTACCACACTTACTGGGCACTGGCTCACGACAGATTGCAACTTAGCAACTTGAAGATGTTGGGCACGAATGTTTTTACTCATTTTTTCGTTTTCTTCTTGAGGCTGCTTCATATGAACGTCCAGTCCGGACTCTTCGGCTGATCGAAGCTTTAGTACAGCCACTTGCGACGCACCTCCTCGCGAAGTTCATGGGCTTTCTCCTGTCCATTTAAATAAATAAATAACGTCAGACAATCCCCAACGCCGATACATCGGTCCGTAGTATAGCAAATTGTACCCGTCGAGCGGCGTACGTGCACTTGCGGCGTTTGGATTTCTTCTGGTCAGGCGCTTTGGGCTGCTTTACTGTTTCATACATTTGTTGCTGGCCTTGTTCGAGGCTGGTCTGAGAGATGATCGCCGTGTTCGGCATTCCCTCTAGCTTCCGTCTCCTGTCTATTTAGGAGACCAATTGTATAGTGATCTCGTCACTCCACGAATTTAATACCTAAACGGCGCCGTTAATATGGATAACCGCTCCAATAGCAACACCGAATGATTGCAAGTACTCACCAGCGATTGAGTTTACGTACAAATGATTGGATCTTATCCCACCTGGGATGGTCAACAAAGATGGATGCTTCATGTTGACGCGCAAACAACCAAGTCTAGCTGCCACACACTATTACGTTGGTCACGGTGATGCAGCATCCGCTAAAACGCACTTTTGACTTTGCTGGCAAAACGATCAAGTGGAGCCAAACTGTCAAACCATCAAAGGCGCTGGAAAATGACCCCTTGATGCTGCCTCAAGAAAAAATTATGAAGCTCACGGGCTTGAGCAACCCCCGTTTACAATACTACTGATTGACTTGAGCATGACATCTTCCCACGATATAATGTTCGTCGCTATCTCTTGCTGTATATCCTCCCGGATAGCGATAGCAAATTGAGGTCGGTGAAGTTTTAAGATACCCGAGGCTCTCATTGTCACAATGAGTTCGCCTTCACCTCCGTTCTCCGATGGTTTCTTCCGTGGCGTAAATGCAGCAGTACCAGTCGCATCCTTCCACCCGTTTGGCGGAATTGCACGGATAGAGTTCGTCCTGGTCGACAAAATCGACGACTACGGTTCCATATTTCCTCCATCTCTGGAAACGACAGAGAGCTCGTCTCAAAAAAATAAAAAAAAATTGTGCCAGTGTCGTGAACTGTCGACAATACCCGTGCCTTGTACACTCCGTCAATAGTCTCCTAGTCGTCCCGCACCGTGACGTGACCCAATCGCTCCGCTATATCGTCAAAAAAAAAAAAAAAACGACCGCATCTTAGACTTGCGGGAGTGATGTAACTTTGGGAAATTGCACAATCTCGAAGCATATGCCGCAGAAACCTTACAATTCAAAAAGTTTGTCGAAGTACGTTGTCTTGCCGATGTTAAAGTAGCGCTTCGGGTCCATGACGAAATTGTACCTGTTTGCGTAGCTTTTCCTCTCAAATCGAAATTAGTTTTGCGCGGCGTCGATGCCATTCCTTTGGAAGGCAATGTAAGTGAAGTGGGTGTAGCAACGAGCATGAGAGTTAGACGGGCGATTTACAGAATAATGTTCCTCAATACAAAACCTACTGGACATTTGCTCATGACAAACTGCATCTTTGCAAGCTAGAGCTGTTGGAAATCACTCAGTTTTTCATTTCTTCTTGAGTTTGTTTCAGATTGGCCTCCACTTCGGAGTCTTCGGCTAAAAGTTCATGGGCTTTCTCCTGCATATTCGAAAATAAAAAAGTCAAGTGTTTGGCAAGGCCGAATTCGACGATAACTCACACATCACGTACCCGTCGAGTGGTGTACGTGAAATTGCGGCGCTTGGGCTTCTTTTGGTCAGGTGCTTTTGCCTGCTCTACTGGTTCGTGAACTTGTTGGCTTGTTCGAGGCTGGTCTGAAAGATGATCGCCATGTTGACGCCTCTACCTGCTTATCTTCAGTCTGTCTGGAGACAAGTTGTAAAGTGATCTCGTCGCTTCGTGGATGCAGTATGAAGTATGCCAGCAATACTACTGTACTACCTACCACGTGATTAATTACGAGTGATTAGAGTTTACAGTTACGTGAAAATGATGTGATCTTACCTTTGTGAGGCGAACTAAGGTTAAGCTAAGATTCTTAACCCATATGCTTATCCAGAGGTTGGTCAACATCGACCAAACCTAGCACGGTAGCCACATAGTAAGGTCACCATGGCAAAACATTCACTCAAACATTCTCTGGGTTTGCGTGTTACCCACGGAACTCATTTTTATGATATTAGGCGAATGCTAGCTGTCTTCAGCCGACAGAGCTCCCATCGATGCCTTTGATGAATGGGTCCCTCTAGTCCTTGAAAAAAATGCGCGCACCATTGAGAGACCAGTCGAGCAGGTCGAATTCGCGGCGGTTCAGTTCAATGCGCTTGGCCGTGAGTTGCAGGGTATGCACCTCTTCTTCGTCATCAATGAGCTCCGCAGTCGTCTCTTTCTGCTTCTTGGCCGCCTGCTCACGCTTGCGAGCCTCACGCTCCGCTTGTTTTTCGTTGTAAGCTTCCTCCTCAGCCTTATACTTTCGCACCACCTCTTCGAACCAATGCAGTGCATCAAATTGCTGCAATAGAACTCACAACAGTCAGTACAACGAATGAAACCACTACACATACAAAAGCAGACAGAAACCCACCTCTCCTTGGTCGAGAATGGCGAGAATGTAGGCAACTCCGATCGCGAAGCCATCGTCCGAGAAATACGATTCGCGACGCCGAGTGTTCTTGTACATGAGGTCCTTGGCTTGCACCGTTGTCTCGACGTAGTTGATGGTAAGTGCCGGGATAATCGTGTAGAAGTTGATCAAGTGCTTCTGTTCGTCACTCGCAGTAACGTCCTGGAAAACCTTGACCAGCACCTTGAAGTAGTCGTTGTTCTCCGAGAAGTTCTTGGCCAGCGTCGAGATGACAGAGTCCAGATTACGAGCCGCCACAACTGTCTCGCGTGACAACTTGGCGCCTGCAATCTCGTCTTGAATCACCTCGCCGGTCTCTTCGTTCTTCTCTTCGGCGACACCGTCTCCAGCATACGCTTCAAACTTAAAGTGTGTGTGGTTCAGATCCGGCACGAACTTAATGGCGTTACTGCAGTAGTTCATACCGGCAGAGCGCACCATCCGCACGTATCCCAGAGCATTGCCGATTTCAGTGATTAGCATACGGAACTGGTCCAAAAACGTTTTACCCGAGTCCGACACGCCCAGTTTGCGGATATCCTTGTTGAACTGGAAAGCGCGGTCGAACGGGTATTTGTTGTCCACTTCCTTGTCGTCGCGGTGTTTCTTGTACCACCGCTTCTCACGCTGCAGATAACTCTTAATGTACTCGTCAAAGAGGAACTGCGAGAAGATGTCGAATTTCTTGGTCAAGAACTGGTACGTGAAGTTCACCGTCGTGTTCATGATACCCATGCCGTGTGTGCGGATGGAGCTTGCGATGGAGTGGATGTTGATGGAGTTCAAGTGTCGCGAGCCCTTGTCACTACGTCGTTCCAGGAAGAACTGCTGGTTCAAGTTGTAGTTGTATCGAGCGACAAAGATCTGAATATTACGCATGATCTGGAGGATATCTAGACCCTGATCCAGTGATCCCATGGGAAGATGGTTATCCGCAAGACTCAAGCCATACTTGTCGTTCGCCAAGTTGCGCATCTCACCGTACGTTTTCCAGTCGTGAAGCGCCACAGTAGTCAAGTTGTAGAACGTGCTCTCCAGGTAATGAGTAACATGTTGGCGTAGGTCAAGTGTCTTTCCATGAAGGCGGATCGGACGCAGGTCTAGATAGTAATGGAGCACTTTGAAGTCGGCGCTCTTCGGGTTGGGGGCGTCCAAGTGGTCCAAATGCACCGAGTGGACATGCAAGCGAAGATCGTTCTCCACGTCCTTGCACAAATTCTCCACAATCTCCTCTTCTAAGACGGATTCAATGAATTCTGCGTATGCGTTCACATACAACTCATTGTCTGTCTCGTGCTGCGCTCCACGGAGCAACTTGATCGCGTCCAAGAAGCCACCAACGACGTACTGGATGCGGTTAGCTTGTTCCGGTTGGTTGTACAGATCCGACAGGAAAGGGTGTAGCAATTCGCGACTCCAATAGAAGAACGAGCAGTCACATGCGGCTCGAATCTTGCGCTGGAAATCACTCAGAAGACGCAACTTCCAGATGAGCTTCACAGGCTCGTCAGCGTCCTTGAGACCCATTGGGACCGTCGTATCCATATCGCTGCCCTTCTCGCTAGCAGCACTGCCGTTGTCTGGCGAAATCATTGCGATCTGAGCTGCGAGATCTAGGACAGTGATCCGCGTGTACGAGAACGATTCGCCTGAGTTGAGAATGTCTTCCAGCACGGTCACAGCAGCCAGGACATCGAGTTTGGTATCATCGAACTTCTTGCTGGCTTCCAGATGAGCCTTGAGTGGACGGAAGAACGAGAACAGCGAGTGAGCTACTTGACGCAGCAAGTGTGACGATGATTCCGCTAGAATGGGGTTCTTCCGAGCAAACATGAATTCGACGGCTTTCAGGATCTCAATGCACGTGTAAAGTGGCCTCACAACTCGCTTTGGCATCGGAATTTGAAGCGACAGATGCAAGTTCACCAGAGTGTGCATCATGGTCTGCACTCTTTTGGCTAGAATCAGACCCTTGAGGATCAGATTGCCACGAATGCTCAGCGTCCGAGACGCATCGCCCATTCCACGCGTTGTCGGCTGGAAAAACGACTCCATGCGGACAAGCCATGCACTCAACTCCAATTTGGCGGTAGTTACATCAGCGGGGAAGGCGTCGTCCAGTGAGTGTAAGTACTCACGACGGAACTGCACGATGTCGGTGGGTTGGAGTTTCTTTGAGGTCATAGGCGAGTACTTCAGCAGGAAATCTGGCATGTACCACATGATCTTGCCACAAATGGTCACACACGGAGCCTTCGTCTGCATCTCCCACAATCGCTTGTACAGCACAGGATCGGCAGGTACATTTGACGGCTGAAGGCGTCGAAGAAGCACGTACAGCCCCGTTGTACCGACCAGATCATTACGCTCGAACGTCTCCGTAGCTGACGTAATTGCACCCTCGGCAATGCTCAAACGAGCGCTGATGCAGTGCACGAATTCTTCAAGGAACACACGGTTCGTGCGAATATCAATACGTGACTCTCCTCCACTGCTGCTCGCGCGTCGACCGCCTCGCTCACTGTCACTTCCCTCAGGATCCTCATCGTCATCGGCGACATCACCGCCGGAAAATATCTCAAAGTCCTGCTCAATGCAACTCTGGAACACTTGAGCGCTCATGATCGTCTGGTCCAGACTGACTAGAAGGCGTTCGAACTGTTTCACCTTCTCAACTGTGACGTTGTAGCGGGGTGGATCCGAGCGCACATACTGCATCATACGCTTGTATTTGTCCCATGACGTGATGATATTCGGGTTGTCAATGACGATGGCATCGATCGTTATCATGACTTCAAGTAGACTGGCCAATGCGTCGAACACGGGGTGGAGGTGCACGAGCTTGAATGTAGATTTCCACAATTTCTGGAAACTCTGGTACAAACTCGCGAGCTGGTGGATCATGTTGATGGTGATAGCGTTGCATCGATCCACAAAGTTGGAGATATCCTGAAAGAACGCCAGCATTCGTCCGATGTGGACTTCATCTTCTCCAGCTTTCACTTCGCCTTCCTCTCCATGACACGCTTGACCGAACATGATCAGCGCCGGGTAGAAATTATCTTCCACCGTCACTTTGAGCTCCGAGATTTCATCACACAACACGGAAAACACCGTAAGAACTTTGTTGAACAGTTCGTTGTCCGTCTTGATGAGGTCCTGCACATCCACGCGCTCCGCCGGGTGTAGGTACAGCTGGATTGGATCCGCCTACAGTTTCCGACAATTCATCAGATCTGCTCGTGCAAAACGACAAAACATCACCATAAAGTCGTACCCAATATCCCCAAACTTCCGACATTGCAGCCGTGATAGCGTCCTCAATCTCCTTCAACTTGGTCTAAGAAACATCAACAAAACATACGCATTTCGTCAATAACTGTAGTACACACTCCAACCCTCAATTTTCCCTCTCACCGTGTGGTCATTGATGATCGCCAAGCCTCTCTGCAGCTCCTCTCGGATCGGCTGCTCCTGTGCATCGAACTCCGAGAAGGGGCTGCCAAACTGCTCGTCCGCCAGATTCCAGTTCTCCGTGATGGTGGACAGAGCGTTGCTGTCTTTGCGTTTCTTGCCTTTGGTCACGCCAAAGTTGGACACGAACGAGGATTGCCTGGACCTGGTTCCGCTCATACTGGAGCGACTGCTAGTGCGTGACAACCTCGAGGCTCTCGAGTCCGAGCGCTGACGGTTGTGGCTGGAAGAGGCTCGTCCCCCGAGTCCCGTGAGTCTCAAGTCCCTGGCAGACATGTCCGAAGCGCGAGAATCAGCGCGCCCCATGTCGAAGCGCGTCGAGTCCGCCCATGAAGCCTTTGAGTCGAATCTGGGGCGCTGATGATTGCGCTGCGATGGGGACGAGAGCACACTGGACTCGTCCGAGAGGCTGCTGCCGATGCTGCTACGCGATTTGACGTCGTCCTCGACATCCTTGCCGCTCTTCTTCTTCTTGGAAGACTCGCTCATGGCGACGGTACGGTGAAGGTGAACGAACGCGAGCCCCAGTGCGATCAACCCTTCAACTGAACTCTGAACGTCATAAAGCACTTTTTATGGAAAAAAGCTCTTGCCTTGACTTGTGGCCCACCTTAATAAAAATAAATCAAAAGTGGGCCGAAACCAATGCGCACTTTTTTTCTTTACTTTTTTCAAAAAAAAACTTCTGTTGATGTATGTGGTCCACACCGACGCATG